GGATCCAAAAGTAAAATCAACAAAATAACACCCTAGACAAAAGTTTTCGAACACCTATTTTTACTGATTGCGTAAAACTACACATAATAATTATATATAAAATTAATATATCATTGATGGCCTAGGTTTTAGCGAATATGCATGTAAATTTTGATATTCTTAGAACGTCTAGAAATATTTTAATCAAAAGAATCCAAAATTCAACGAAAATTGCCGATGTCATTTTTTGTTTCTCGAATTTACCCAAATTCTATATAATAATAAAAATAAAAAATTATGTCAACTTGTAAGCTTAGATTATCTAGAATATGAATGCAAAATTTTGTGATTTCTGGCTAGCATAAATAATTTATAATAAAATTAAAAAAATTAGTAAATATAAAAAAATCAAAAATTTTAAAAACGAAGAGGAAAAATTTTGAGCCTTCATGAAAGCACCTAATTGGTCTTCACAATCTTAATCCAATCGAAGATTTTTGGAGTGAATTAGTGAGGTGATTAGATAAGCGAACACAATACCCAAAAAATGCCAACGAATTGGGATCTTGCTTTACAAGAAGTATGGTCAAGAACTCCACACAAAACTTACTACAAATTAATAGAAAGCATATCTAGAAGGATTGAGGCATGCATTTCTAGTGATATTAAACTTTATTTCATTTTTTTTTATCAGTTATTTGTTTTTGAATTTTTGAATACAAATAAATATTTTGTTGATCATCATCATTTTCGTCGAGTTTCGGATTTTTTTAATTAGAATTTTTCTAGACGTTAAGATTACCAAAATTTACATATATATAAAATTTTATGTATAGTAATAGTTATTGTAGTTTTGCGCAATCAGTAAAAACAGGTGTCCGAAAACTTTTATCTAGGGTGTGTATGTACGTGGGTTGTACAAAAAGTTTTGAGAAAATGCATGTAACTTTATAAATTTGAAGGCAATTGATTTGGAAATTTTTTTAAATAAAAGACAGAGTTCCCATCTTTCAAATAAAAAAGGCAAATACTTTTTGGTTGCTAATTATTGAGATATTAAATTTTAAAGATTAACAACAAAAACAACTGGAAATTTTTTGTCATAAGGTACATAACTTGATGATTTTAAGTGTAATAAATTTGAAATTCTTTTATATAAGTAACATTCTTCTCATCTTTC